ACTACTACTTCTTCTTCTTCTTCTTTTGCTTGCATTCAGGTACAGGCAAGCTTGCAGCAAGCCGCCGCCCAAAGACCAGCTAAGCGGTCTCCCAATTAAATCAGGGTTCGGATGGGCTACCGTACAGTATACAATATGCTACGCGAAGGTAAGGCAGGTATAGCTCGAGATTGAAGAATTCAGAGACGCTGTGTGGACCCATGACCGTGACCTCATGTTTTGGGTGGGGCATGCTTCTTGGAATGTTTCGACCACATGAAGCTCAGTAAGAGTAATATCACAGCCGGCTGGACTTTTGACACCAGTCGCAGCCGAAACATCCAATGTGTCACGGACACAGCCTGCCCTCAGCAGTCTCGGCTTTGCACGCTCTGAAAATCCTTTTGAATGAGCTCCTTGGCTGTCACGTCATGCTCCAAGCTCTCAGGACCGCAGAACATGCATGTGATATCATGTAATCATGGGCTTCGCTTGACTCGACACAAGCCCATCTATTCACGAAACATCCAGGCGGTGAAAAACAGCAGTTGGGAAAAACAAGTTCTTGTTCTCAGTCCCAGGTAAATTTGCTGGCTTGGGGCAGCGACGGCAGCGGTGGTGGTGTGGAGGTGGGGTGGGGTGCACGCTTGTCAGTCTCCTCCCTTCCAGCAATCTGAGGCAGATCTGTTCTCGCCTAACACTTACATCATCAGATGACCAAGCGCAACAGCCGCCACCGCCATCGCCGCCACCACCGCCACCACCGCCGCCGCCACCCCCAGGCTGGTGCTGCCAACAAGTTCATCTCTGAATGTTTCTGAACTCAAAACCACGCTGCCATATGTTTCATCAAGCGCTCTATGTCTTGAACATGGTCATATGTTCCAGCAGACAGCTCCGGCAGCAGCTTGTCCAGCATACCTCATGTTCCAACTTCCACCCAGGCACGGAAACATAGAAGAAAAAGGCACAAGGCATGTTGTCCGCAAGCGTCTAATCCGAGCATCCTGGTGTTAACCCCCTAAGCTAAAGGGAAGTAAGCCACCATGGCCGAACTCCCAAAGTTCCTGTACTGCACATCACCGATTTGACATCGAAAGTTAAGCAAAGACCAAAGTCAATCACGTTCCCCGCCTGCATGATTAGGGCGCAGGGTGGGTCCCAGGATCCATCATTCCCTATGCAAACACCCAGCACACACTTAATATGTGGAAGGAATGCTAGACTAGATCTGCAAGTGAAGCCAGGGGACTATATACAGCCTCCCGCTTAGACACCCAGCGATATCGCCGTTTCGTCAGAAGGTCACCTACATAGACTCCCAGAGCTTGGCAATCCTCTGCGCTGCCGTACTCCAACTCCAAAACGTCACCAGCTCCTCTCTTACAAGCAAATGACAAGAATATACAAAATGCTGCACAGATATTGAGTCACTGAGTCAAGCACCTGCCAGGTCGGTGAAGCCGCGGAGCATTTTTGCTGATGGTGGCTGCTCTGCATCAGGCATCTGAACGGCAAACAAGATAACTGCTGATGCTAGGGAACACACCGCGCTGAACAACCAGGGCAGGACAATGGGGTCTCGAACTGCCAGGTGCCCAGCAGCAACAGGACCCACAAGTCGGCCTATGTTCAATGCAAACTGCTGCATAGCGAAAACGCTTCCGCGATTTGAAGGGTTTGTGAACCTTGTCAGGATTGTTCCTGCACTGCCGCCACGCAGGGCTGAACCTATACGTGAAAAGCAAAGGCAGAACACCGTAGGCCAAACGCCGGGGACAAGAGCCATTGCAAGGCTGAACGCTCCGCCAAGTAACGTTCCCAGCACGGCACAGTTCTTCAACCCCACCCTGCTTTGCACACGGGAGGTGCCCCAAATGCTGGTCGCTAGCGTTGCAAGAGCCGCCAGCACGAAAGTGAATCCAACATGCAGGGAGTCAAAGTCCAGTTTTGCAGCAAGTGTTATGGCAGACATGGAGACCGCAGTTCCAAAGCTAACGCCCTGGAAAACAGCAGAGATTGCTAACACTTTGACATTGCCTGGAACCTGGCTAGAGGAGCTTGAGGAGTGCTTCACAGCATCCTCAGTCTTCCCCTTGTCTGCCTCCCAACTGGGCGACTCGGGCAAATAAATGTAGCACAGCCCAGCTGCCGCCAGCGACAAGAGCCCATCCACCAGAACGGGAACGTTCAATCCAAATTTGGAAAGCCCGCCACCCAATCCTGGACCAAACGTCATGGCCAAGCTTGGGACAGCAGATAACTTTGACATGTAATCAGGCAGCACAGCCGGGGAGCACACATCACTGAGGTACACCTGAGCAGAGTTACCTACAGCTGCCCAGACTCCCGAGAATGCCCGCCAACCCAGGAGTTCATAGTAATTCCCAGCACACGCCTGTCCCAAGTTTGCCACGCCAGCTCCGACTAGTGAAGCAAGCAGGACGCTCCTCCGTCCGATTCGGTCTGATAGTTTTCCTAGAGCTGGGGCGCAGAAAGCGGATGTGAAGCTCCAGGAAGCGTATAGATACCCAATTGCTGCATTGTTGACATGGAAGGACTGGGCATAGTATGGCAACGCAGGAGTTGAAATCGTAGCTGCCAATGTGTCCATGAATATGGTTATGAATACCATCCATATCGCAGCTTGAGGAACCAGAAGCCCGGTCTCCGCGTCATAGATGCCTCAGTCATGCTCCTGTCATCCTCCGAATACAGCATAGTCTAAGTGCAGCTTGTGATGAGCTTCATTCGACTGTGCAATCTACCAGGATGACTTATGTACTGACCCGGCACAAGCACACAAGCTCCAATTGATTTTGGGCAAGCCGCCTTCAGACTTCAGCAGCGGCGACTCCATCAGCAGTTCTTTCAGTTTAGCAGCAACGCGTCTGTGGACCTCCTTGCCCGCTATAATCTGGGATAGTAAGGGTGGGCTCGGCAATGATGAGAGAAAACCAGCCAACGCTACAACGAACTATATCAAAGGATCTTACAACGTTCAGACTTGCAGACAAACAAGCCTAACAATTGTTTCAACTGCTACCTGTCAAACATGTTGCTTTTTCCTCTGTCAAAACAACTTGAACACAGCAATGGAAGCGCTTCCAAAGACATGCTTCTCACAGGCTTCTGCACTTTTAGCCACTTTCGGACACATCTGCCTGGGCTCCTTGGAACTGGTTAAGGATAAATTGCTCCCGAGAAAGTCTGCTCCGCACTGGAGGATGAAGCTCAGCTCATGCTCCTCAGCCCCTGGAATGTTTGCCTGTCTGCATGCAACATCAATGCACAGATAACATCAAGAGCCAGGGGCGCCCGGTTCGGGCACTCCATATGGTCTGTTGGAGGGGATGGAAATGCTCCATCGATACAGGCTTTTGGTTTGGCAGCCACCTTGCTTTCACAGCGAACTGAATAGCGGGAGGCCAGGCAAACCTTTTGTCTCGTATCATGCGAGGTCAGTCATCGTCCGCGTCACTTGAGGTATACCGGCGCATCCAGGTCTCAATGTCCGGAACGCTGTCTTCCTCGCACCAGAATGAGGGTCGGGGCAGTATGGACAAGATTCAAGCAATCCATCTGCTACACAAAAGTCCAGCCTCCTCGTCTTCGTCATCGTCATCAGTGCCAAGCCCCTGACAGCGCAACTGTCACTTTCATGAAATCTGGTGATGGTTGTTTTGTCCTGAGCCATGTATGGTGCAGATTGCGGACACATTTGATATGTGCTGAGCTAGCAGCTTCATACATCGTAATCTGGTTCTACTACATGTCCATGAAACAAGCTTGCATTCGCGGTGTCCTCGCTGCGCATGCTACCGTGTGCAACTTTCATGTCACACCGTGTGCAAACAGCACGTTTCTGGGTTCTCCGTGGCGCAGCATGCACTGTGCTTTTGTTCAAACATTCAGCTTGTGTCGTGCATCTGCTGCTGCCGCCTGTGCGAGTGCATTAATTAAGGTGCAGCAGCGCAAGCAGGTGGATAGTGTATGATAATCTATCATGTCAAGTCCACTGGACACCTCAAACACACGGCAGCCAAGTATCAGCGCTCGTCGGAGTTGGCGCTGGTGCTTCATGCAACTGTCGAGACGAGGGCAACCTACATGCAAGCTTCAGTTGTTACGAAAGATGTTGCGCAGCGCCAGCATTCACCATCAGAGAAGGACTCTGTCAGGCGCCTCTCGGCGCTGTCAGGGGTAGACGCACCTCGACTCACCAGAGAGGAGGGGAGTCCTTTTTTGCAAACTTCAAATTCAGTCATGCAGCTGTCCACGCTGGGGCTGCGGGTCCTCACAGTGCAGGATGGGCCCCAAGCACTAGCCATGGTTGAATGCTACAGCTTTGACATGCCGCAAGATTTGAATTTGCACGTGCGACGCATCGGGGACAAGGTGACCTCGAAGAATACAACCCAGAACACTGTCGTCCAGGCAAACAAGAGAAGGATGCAAACCAACACATGATGTTAAATTATTAGTGAGCCTTAGTAATTTCAGAAGCGCAAAAAGTTTGAGGAGTAGGAGTGGGAGTCGTAGTAGTAGTAGTAGTAGTAGTTGTTGTTGTTGTTGTACTAGTAGTAGTAGTAGTAGTAGTAGTAGTTGCAGTAGTAGTAGTAGTAGTAGTAGTATACTAGTCGAAATAGTAGTAGTAGTAGTAGTACTAGTACTAGTTGTTGTTGTGGTTGTGGTTGTTGCTGTGGTTGTTTTTTGCTCTTGCTGTTGCGGTTGCGGCAGCAGCATTAATAGTAGGAGTAGTACCAGCCGCGCCCGGAGGAGGCGGAGGAGTAGTAGTAGCAGCAGCAGCATGTAGTAGCAGCAATAGAGCAGTAGCAGTAGCATTCACACGAAAACGCAAGCAAGCACTTGTCTGGAGTGGCTTCTGCAATGAAAGTCAGAAACGGATCCCGCGCAGGCATGGCATTCAAATCAATCTGCCCTACCGCCGCATCTCCAGAACCCCCCCCCCCAACACAACAGGACAGCGTAAATCACAGTAAATACCGAGATATGTAGGTGCATTTTTTCACGAGCTAACGCATGGCAAATTGGATCGTCCCCAGGCCACATTGTCTTGACTTCTGGACCCCCCCCCAACATTCCAAAAACCACAAGACAAAGAGTGCAAAACACTGCACGTGTAGCGCCGAACACCTGTTTGAGGCTTCCAGGATGACCCAAAATGTGCCCATGCCACACAACGCCTTTCAACAAAGCACTATGAAGCTTGGTGCACCAGAACAGAACCCGCAAGCGCCCTTGAAAAGAATCACTAAAGCCGCGCTACCTTTGCCAATTGCCCGGAGTGAGGCTGTTGGGAAGCCTTCATAAAATAAACGGATGTTCAAATTCACGATCAATCAACTATCAATCAAAAGCAGGATTTCGGCGTTTTCCTAAGTATTCCGTTCTTGTCGTGAGATATATGTTTGAATACTTTTCAGGGAAAAACTGGCAACCGTTCGCGCCTTTATGGGCCCTGTGCGATCAATCCATTTCACTAGACTCCGATGGCGCTGACGGCAAATCTTCGACCTGGCCTCGGGCAATGGCTGCTTGAACGTCACTTGGCAGTCGCTTGTTGCATGTAGTACACAGAACCAAGGGCTGACTAACGGGGTCGCTCCCCTGGTCGATCACCTGCACATTAAACGGAGTAGATCTACACAAAGGAACATAACGGTTGCCCGCCAGTTCTTGGACCACATGAGCTACCTGTGACCTGGCCAAGACGAACCACTGAATCTCCTTGACTTGGTGGAAGTTTGGAACCTTCGCGTCCTCACCCAAAGACCCATCAGCCGACGCGGACCGCAAGGAAACTGAAGACTCCACTTGCTCTGCCAGTCCATGGCCGTCTGCCGACGCTCGTCCTCTGCTTGCCTGGCTTCTATGGTGGTGCCTGCCCACGACTCGCCTTGTCTTTCCGCGCTGTTCCAAGGGGCCCAGAACTTCCAGGAGGTGATCGAGCCGGCCTTTTGAGGTGTGCGCTCCTCCCGGTTCCAAAGCTGTCCCCAGACGCTCCAACAAGGCGGCTACATCTGCCTGCAACAGCTTATATCTACCCAGCTGGCTCCAAGTCAAGGACGGGTGCTTCCAGAACTTTTGGAAGTTGGCAGGCACATCCTCAAGACCTCGCCGCAGCATCTCAAAATGAATAGCCAGGGACACCAGCTGAATACGTGCCGTACCAAAAAACTTCACTCCACTGTAACGCCTGCTCATGGCCAAGGTTGCCCGGGCGGCACTCACCACACTGTTCCCCTGTCCTGCCAGTAACCAAAGGCCTGAGCTTCCAATTGAAGCAGACCAGGGCTGGGAGGAAAAACGGCTTGATCCCAGGGTCAAGTGTAGGATAAACGGCATTGTGTACCTCATAAAGGCCATGGAGAAGTCAAGAGACCTCT